GGGTTATAGTTTAATCTTGATTTAGACCTTAGAAGATAGGGACCATACCATGGGGGAGGGAGGGGGGGGGAGCCCGTCGGGGCGTGACCATATATGGGTGATGTTGTCTGTATGATGGTGATGTCACAGAGAATTCCAGCAGTAAAGCCTGCTCCGCTCCCAGAATGCACAGCTCTTCACACCCAAACTGGCATTTTATGGGGCCTGGTCCCTGAGAGAGTCCACCTCGCGCTCCTGTGCACACTTGATAAAACTGGAAGATGAGATGCTTTAGTTTGTCTTGCAGCTTAAAAGCAGGTAACGCGAGAAGGCGGCCTTCTTGCGAAGCTCGTTCTCGCGCTCTCGGATTTCCAGGCTCTTCCGTTCGAGCTCCTGCAGAACATATGCAACAACGCAACGTATGCCAGATCGGTGGACGCAAGGCTCTCAGTGCTTGTTGCGGCCGTTGCCAGATGTCTCCTGCTCGCGCTTGGCGCTCTGTGCCTGGCCAAGTCAGCAGCATGGCAAAAGTCCTGCAAACTGGTATACACTATTGACACGATCCACGCGAGGAGTTGCATGCTCATGTAGGGTATGTCATGTACAGCATAAGATTGTGGAGAAGATGACCAGCAAGCTGATGCCCTCCCCTGGCCAGCTCAGTAGCCCTTGCGCAAACAGCTCGGATCGCTCGCGCCTCGAAGGAGCTACGCTCGCTTCGCAGCGTCCCTTCCAACTTCCTCGCGGCCTCCAGGCAGTGCGGTCGTTTCGATGTCACGTACGGTTGTATTTGTTGTCCAGGCCGATGGTCACTGGAAAATTGGTGCGAGTGTCATGGTTTCGAAGCTTCAGCAAGTATGTTGATGTTATCGGCCCGTTATCGCTCTTGATGAGTTATGAGCGTTGGTGGAAACTCATTGGACAATCCCATGTCATGCATAACTTGGGGGGGTCCTATCGCTTTTGGGAGCTCTAGTGCAGGGGAAAGCAGAAGAGTCGCGCGCGGCTTTTGGCACGTGGGTTCAGCTTTAGTCCTAGATCACCTTTGGGCCCTTTGCGTGATTCTTTATATCTCACAGCATTCCTTCTCTTCAACGGGTACATGAGTACGAACGATTACTGAGAAAGCTAGCCTCATCGCGTTTGCGGCACCAATCATCCTGCAGGCAAAGCAATCCTCTAGGGTCACACAGCCAAGCTATCGACTGCACATGCGGACTACGGGGCCTTCAACACAGCTTCCTGCTCCAGACCGTCCACCCTGGCTTGGAGATGCCTGAGCTTGTTGAAGGCGCTGTAGTTGCAGACTGAAAAAGCTTCTACACACAAATAGTAATAATAATAATGGTTAATAGTAGTAATAATAGTAATAGTAATAGTATTAATACTAATAAGTGGGCAGGCTTCATCCTACTCGCAGGCTCAGGGGACACAGCTCAGAAGGTGACAGGATAGTCTTCTCGCGCTCCCCAAGGTCCTCATCCTTGCGCGTCACCTGCATATCTCTCCAGCAGAGCTGCCTACGGTGACCTTTTGTGTGACCTCACGACAGCCTGCCTGCTCCTCGTGACTGCGCCTGTCGCTGGGTGTTGCTACTTTCTGAGCAGTCACACGTCCAAGCAAATCGGGTTTGTCTCTCATTTTCGCTCGTCCGCACCAGCGCCGGCACGTCATGACGATAGCTGATAACAGGCCATGCTTCGCATGGCCATGAAACTGGAAAACGATAGGGGAAGCGTGGCGCAGCAAGCCTGCAAGCCTACTTCCCAGCCAGAATCTCCCACAGCGATGGTCCGCATATTGCAAACCCGCTGCCTACCACGACAAACGGCAGCAAAGCGCCTCAGCCAGCGCAACAGCAAGCAGGCATCAACTAAAGATGTTGGTTGCGCTGGGCTCAACCCCTTTGCAGTCGAGGCGCCCAAGGCGGCCACAAACCTGCGGCAACTCAGCTTCCCATCCTCCGGGCATGGGAGATGGACTTGCTCAAAGCTAACTCTGTTGAGGCAGTCAGCTATTAACAAAGAGCCTTGTGCAGGGACCGTGAGAGTCTCGTCGCTTTGTACGCATGACATGCGTACATGAAATGGAAGTGTCTGCGCAAAGAGGACCCTCTTCATTCTACCCCGAGTTATCAGTGAATCATCGTCGCTAAACTCACCTCCGAAAAATGCACAGTCCTCCATGAGGTAGGCGGTGCCCAGCACAAAGAACGGCTGCGCAGCTAGCATGTAGAGCCCAGGACCTCTGGAGAACATGAATCCTTCCGCAGCCAGCACCACAACCTCACAATGTCCAAAGGATGTGAAAGGGCAAATGTCAAATCAAATGAGCTTCTTGAAGGAGTCAGCATGTGTCATACATTGGCCGAAGTTTGATAGCGACGAGGTGTGATTCTGTTTTCTCCATGCTGCTAAATGTTGTGCTTTGCACAAAGCACTGCTCGGGGTACTATATCATTCTCTCACACTAGTTAACAGACCTACATGGGCTTATTGGTAGCACATCACCCAAAGCTTCCTCTGTGTCAAGGCTGAGCGTCGCCAGCCACCAAAGCCACCTCAGAATGGAGGAGACACGGCCCCAGAACTTTGTACTACCAGCAACCGCAACGCCGTACTTCTAATGTCCAAAGAGACGGCAAAAAAAATGATAGGAATGGAAAAGGAATGGAAACTACTGTAATATTGGGACTATATAGGGGTATATTAGGGATAATGGAAAAGAAAATGGAAACTACTTTTATTACTTAGGAGGACCCCCCACCCTGTAATAGTGGTATAATAGGAATATAAGAGGACCGTAATATCATCCTTATTATCCACAATAGTCACTATTACTGGGTGGGGGTCCACCTAAATTATTACCCTAAACCCTAAACCGTAAATTATCTAAATTATTACTGTAAAAGTCTGGCACCTTCAACTTCCAGAGGCCACGCTGCGCCGCGGACTGCGCCAGTGGCTCCGCTTCGCTGTAGTCGAGACGCAGAAGTGGCGTGTAGCCTCGCAAGATTGGCAAAGCAAAAATCATCATCATGTGCCTGATTACTGTAGTACTAGTATTATCATTACGAGTACCACTAGCACTATATAACTTATGAATAGTACACCATCAAGTGAAGTCTCCGGTCCAAAGAAGTCTCCAGAGCATGACTTTCTGACAGATGGTCCGTGAAAGGTCGCTCATGCCAGTGTTTTTCGCCATGACGGGCTCACTCCAGACTCTTTGGTTTGACTGCATCTTGCTGCCAGCAAGTAGCCCAGGTAGGCCACTACCATGAAGAGGCAGAAAAACAGCCGAATCATCCAGGTAATTGCCTTAGCGTCAATGTGACTCCAGGAAAGCGCACGCCAATGGCTTGGACATCCTCCAAGAAACTGTTTCGCGGGGTGGTGGAGGTCCAGGAGGATGTCCCGCCTAGACCGAGATGGTGCCAGAATATCTGAAGCCAGGAACGCCCTGTCTTGAATGCATGTGGGACCAGTGTGATTATGGCCTCAGGCCCTGGAGGCTCTGGCTGCCCCTCAGCCCAGCGATGGAAAGCTGCCTGACCAGCTGGGGTCAGCAGGCCGATGACAAACCTGCCAAGACTTCAACAAAGCTGTTGGGATCCTATCCAAGCTGCCTTCATGCCAGGGCTGAGCAGGGAACGCAACCAAGAAGGCAGCGCCAAAGGTGACGCGACTGATGGCCGCTGCATGCATGAGGACAGTATCTTTACCTGCAATGTGCAACGTGTCTCATTGGCAATGCATTGCCCCCTGCAAAGAGCTGCAACCGAGCGTCGGCTCATTCTATAGAGCAAGTTCAAGTCCCCGATCATGTACCTTTGCCAAAAGACGTCAACAGCTTCAGAGCAGCAAGGTCTCAAGCCTGACTCATATCAAAAGTTGCCGGCCATTCGTGTTCGAGGGGCCACAGTTGGATCAGAATGGCCACTTGGCAGGAGCGGATGGTACGATTCCGCTCCTGAAGGCTGTTGAGGTCTTGAGAGGACATTCTTTGCAGACGTACACCTAGTTGTAAGACCTTCCTGCCTGAAACTTGCTCAGCCCCTCGAGCGTTCGTCAGAAAGAACCTTTTGCGACTTTATCTGGTCCTCTTGGCTGCCGTTACTAGCAAGTGCAGAGAGCAGAGCCACGATATCCACGAGCACGGTTCCCACGAAGCCTCCGGAGTAGCAATAGACCCACCAGATTCGAGCCCTCCGCTCGACCTGACACACGCAAAGCTGCGTAAGGGGCAAGAGTACTGCACCATTGCTTGACGGTTTCCTACCTCGTACTCATCTGTGCGCACAGATCCTCCCTGGCAGAAGGTGGCGTGAAAGCCGTGCCCCAACACGATGCAGGCTGCGCAGCCCAGAATGCAGAGCCACCACAGCGGGTTCCAGCGCAGGCAACGATGTCTTTGCAGGTCAGCCCGCGAAAGCTGCTGCCAACCCGGCACTTTGCTTGCAAACTCCAGCATCAGATCTTCTGACTCCTCAGGCTACAAATCAATTCCAGTATATTCCGTTGCTGCAAGGCTTGGGTCACCAGAGTTGCACCGGCCTCCCAGGCAAACTGCAACTCCCCGCGGCAGGCGCGCACCAGACAGAGCGCGAAGGAGCAAGTGCCCGGCACCCGTTCCACATTTTCAGGATCCTGAACAACATCCATGGCCAAAGCTGTCACAAGCTGCCGCTTTGCCGGTGGGCTGTTGTAGCTTGTTACTTGTTGAGTAGCAGCCTGCACAATCAAGAGCCACTGCGCATCGCCTGTTTTGACAGCTTTTAGGCAAGGAAGTACCGTGATTCCGCACATGGTTTTGCTTAGGCTGTGCTTCTTGAGTAGAACACGTCGTTCCATCCGGAGCTACCTGAAACAGCTGAGTCGGGCAAAGCACTTCCGCTTCGATAGTGGCAGCTTGGGTTCGCTCTTTCCTGGCACTGTCTTCTGCCTCTTTTGCGGTCTTGCTCTCAGCAACTAGAAACTCGTTGGTGGTCGGATCAGATCCTTGAAGTGCCTGCTTGATTGACGGCATCGCTTGAGGGCGAGATGGGCTTGCGGTGTGGCAAACACCTTGAGCTTCTCTGCATCCTCCTTCGCACAACTTTCCCTCAAATTCGTGCCCCTCATGGCCTCTCGGCACTATGGTCTCGCAGATTTTTCATGAACGAGGAGGATGATGAAAGATCAAGATCGCAACGAATCACAGATACCATACCTCCGGGATGGATCCTCCACGATGCTCTTGGACGGGATGGGATGGGACGGGATGAGGCGAGTTCTCTTCAGCCGTTTCAATGAACTCCACCAGCTGCAGGGCACTGAAGAAGCCAGTCCACAAAAGACCTGCGCTTAAGACCATTTTGCACAAGCATCTAATGGGACCCTGAAACAGTGCAGTGCCAAGCTTGCAGACAGCACCAAAGCTTCCGGGGCGCTCGGCTTTCTCGTGGTTCATGAAGGACACTGGCTCTATCTGATCGCCTGTAGAAGGGATATGGGTTTGGAACAGAGGCTGATGAAAGCAGGCAAGACAAAGGACAAACAACATGATCTCTGTGACTCTATGGGAAATCTGCGACACCTGCCTTGTGGCATCAATGCAAGGCGCACCGCCTTGATGATGATGTCTGCGCAGGATGATCAATCGAGGGATCCAAGACATCAAAGCCCTCTCTACGCCTGCGAGCTTTAGCTTTCGCTAGTCACGCCTCGCTTGTCGGGAGCCAGTGCGAGGCGCTCAATCTCCTGCAGAAGCTGGGACTCTCATTCTCGCTTCCCTAGATGAGAAGAAACAGGCCTCCAACCGTTACCAACACGTGATATCTATCATTGATGCCACGCAGGTAATACAACCCGAAGCTTGCAACCAGGCACCGAGAAGACTACTGACACTGAAAAGAAACACTGCCGCAAGACAAGATTTCCCTTTATCTAAGCGATTCCTTTTAAGTGTGCCTGAAAGCCACTCAGGCAGCAAGTCCTGAACAGTTTCCTCGGTAGGCTGGATCTGGAGGCCCCACCTGAAACCATGCTCACATGTCCCACATCTTATATCTTGGAGCTCATGTTGTAAAATCAATCATCTCGTTCTTTTTGTTGGCGTGGGCGTCTGGGCCTGCTTTACGTCACTTCGCGCATCCCCACCCAGCATTTGGTCTAGAGTACAGTACTGACACCTTGATGCAGTGTTAAGCATCGTGGGGACACTGTGCAGTTGGGTATGCCAGGGAATTCCAAAAGGTTCTAGGTTAGGGAGACTCAGACACTCTAGCTTGGGCTATGCATGGCTCTACAGAGGCACTCACTTCAGGGGCGTGCACTTGACAAACATTCTGCGGCTCGGCCCTCAGCGAGACTCTGTGGTTAGGTGCTGTAGGGAAACTCTGGAGTCGTAGGCCACTGAAAACTCCATGAAGATGGCTAACCGGGCAAGGGGAACATGTGGGTGGTTGTCAAAATTATGGTCCCTTTTTGGGTACCCTAAAAAAAAGCCATATTATAATAGGGATCCAAAAAGGAACCATAATTTTGATAACCACCCAAATGCATTCCATGGGCGCCCTTGACCTTGTTCCCGGAGGAGGGTTGACCCTGGATGCAAGGAAGCTGCGCGCTGTCCTCTTCTGCTCTGTTACATACATGGACTTGTCTCCAGGGGGACTCTGCAGGCTGAGATTACTGATGAATGAAGCTTCTCTGCTCAGAAAGCGCTGCATCAATCCCCGCCCCTGAGTCCATGATGTTTCCCACTGCTCACTACACCCGAGGTGCAGACTCCAGATGGGCTGCCCGGAAGTTTTTCAGCTCCTGTCTCAGCATGCAACTGCGCTCACAAGTTTTGAGGCCACGACGAGTCCTGCCAAGAAATGTGAGAGCCATCGATGTTCGACAGACAGCGCAACATGCGTACAGCCACGCTGAGGCACATCTGCGGGATCAGTAGATCGTCTCGAGAAACCACAGCCAAGGCTAGAAAGTCTGCCAAACGAAGCCAGCCCACAAATTCAAAGGGTCGATGCGCAACGATGCTTTGAAGCATGCCATAGGCAAGGCTGTCAGGACAACCCCGGCACCAGGAGTAGGAGGATTTCTGGTTCATGGCATGCAGCGTTGGCTCATCCTCACAGGTACGAACCTTGGCAATCTCCGGGCTGCTGTAGTTTTGCCTTGTTGGGTCGGCATCTCTTCTGCGGAGCGCCCGGCTCCAGGGCAGGTAGGCAGAAAGTCGAAGAGTTCCGTTGATTGCCAAGGCCTCATGGCGGGGCTCCACAAAACCTGGGTTGCGGTTAAGGAACTTAAATTAAAGTCCTATTAGAAAACCTGTTGTTTTCTTTATTGTTACTATATACCCAAACATGGGAACTTAATTCAAGTTCCTGAACAGCAACCCGGAAACAGCTGGCGGCTTCCGGCATCTTTTCACGGAGATCCAGCGTGGCTCCCAGCATGCCCTCCATGCAGTAGTCCTTGCTGTAGCTGCCATGTGCTGTGTTCTCAATCTCCACGCTGTGAGTCAGCAGAACATGCCCAGGGAACAAGGCATTTGCCAAGGAGGCAAACCGCCATTGAGAGACCCACTGGCACTTTGTGTCGCCGTCAAGAACCTAAGCGTTGAAATTGCAATGAACAGCTGGCCAAGCAACAGACTGCAGGCCAGTGCTTTGAAATGTTTTGAACCCTTGTAACCCTGCATGCTCTTCTTCCATTATGCTTGAGCACTTGTACAGGACGGAAAGTTTCATACCAATGAAGCTACCCTCGGGATCGCATGGATAGCTGGGGAGTACAAGGAGATTGTAGAATGCAGGGGTCCAAAACGATGATGTGCAGATTCTGGGATAAGCAATATCGTCGTGTCTTAATGCTCCGTGACATAAGCAGTCTCTGTTGTGAGGGCAGGCTTTTCCATGAACAGACAATAAATAAACAGACAAAACTGAAATCAAGCACCTCCATGCTCCCTACACGCTTCTCCTTGCCTCAAACTATGTTGAACTTGCCTTAGCCTTATCAGGAAGGAGCAACAGAAGGATACACCGCCGGGCAGCGTAGGGAAGGAGCCAGGGAGCCGCATCAGAGTGTACGGCTTCAATGGTATGATCAAAATTCATGACACTCCTGACCATAGCCCCATCCTCCTTCCGATAGCCATCGATGGTGCTACCTAAGCGGGATGATCCTATGCGCGCTGCACACCGCAGACCAGAGAGAGCCCAAAATGTAATTTGCCGTGGCACTGTAGCCATCCAGCACAGGCAATCCAACAGCCGGCTCCCACTCTTTCAAAAAGCTCTCGAACTTCTGCCATCCCACATGCCAATTCTCATGGACCGTGTCCGCCTCGACGAAGCAGTAGTAAGAGTATCTATAGCCTGAGGCAAGGACTTAGCTGAAGAAGTGCCATGCAGAGTACGGAGTAATAAGACATGTTCATGGGCTTGTCTGGCATAACGTGAGCCAGCCGCGATAAGTTTAGTTCCAATCGTGCTGAGTACGGTTTGAAGGTCGAAGAAGCACATGAATACAGCTTAGAGTGACGTGGCTATGTCTTGGGGTGTGTGCTTGGGCTAGGTCTTGCACAAAGAAATCTATCTGCCTACCGTACCATCCACTTGACTCTTCAACCTGAACCACCCTAAAACAGACATGCCCACATAATGCTCAGCTGCGAATGAGCACTACGCAGGTCTTGTCGATGTAGACAGATATTCTGGAAGCGAAGCAGTTTGCTGAACAAAACAACTCTTTAGTTGACGCCAAAATGTGCTCAGCAACCCATCTGCAGCTCGACATAGGCTGCAGCAGCGAAAAGGTAGTTTCGGCCCTCCGAGATCATAGAATTTGGAAAAAACAGCGTGTCAGCCCTGACCGTTTTGAACGTGAGCTGAAAAACATCAGCGCCCGCTTGCCAGAAAGCTATCTCTTTGGTAGCCACCTCAGCCGACCCATCACAGGCAGGGAATGCTGCAAGAACGTCTTGGGAACTGGATTGCCGCAAGTTCTTTCTGCAAATGAAGCAACATCTTCCTCACCTGCCACAGGTGACAAGCATTATTGGCTGCTACAATCTTATGTCATGTGGAGTCCCTGTCACGCTGCATGTCACTTTCCGTTGTTCATCAGCCTTCGATGAGAACCGCCACATGGAAGAGACGACTAGCCTGGCTGCAAGCGCGTGGGGCTGTGGCAATTATCAACAGACACTGGTCTGACAAGCAGCCGGCAAAGTACGGGCGCGTTCGATCACTGCAGACCTAAAATGGCCAAGAGCAGACAACTCCTGGGGCCTTGTGGCAACGATGCTGCCTCGACACAGCTCGGGCCAGTCATCTTGCGAAAGATTCCGGCCGTAAAATGGATGGTGCCTGCAAGGTTTTTTAGATCGCTAGGCGCGCCCAGCAAATACATCAGCACACTTTTTCATGGCAGTTGCCTTAGTAGCTCCTTCTTCCTCGGTGGCCAGATGTTGGCCGCCGGGGCCGTTGCTGCTAGAAGCCAAACAGGCGCAAGGTGCGGGCATCGTCCCATGCAGGGTGCAGAAGGTGCACGAGACGAAGCCAACTCTCTTTCGTTGGGGCTTTAAGGTGTACTTAACAGCTTGAGCCTGCTTCGGAGCGATTTGAGTTTACTTACCTTCAAAGCCAGGGCCAGCATGGCCAGCAGGAATTGTGAATAGCATGGACAAGCCAGCGATTGCCAGCAGGGTCGCACCGCATGTCGCAAAGCTCGCTCTCCTTCTCGAGCAGCTCCTCGTAGCTTCGAGATAAGATTCCGAATCAACACGACGGGAGCGCTATGGGGGTCTCCAAACACAAGGGGCCTAAACCAGGCCCCTTTTTGGAGTCCGTCTAATCTGGATTATGGAATGTTGGGATCTAAATTAGGACCTCGATTCATTAAAACTACATACCCCATGTTCTTGCAAGACTTGACCCCGGATCCTTGTCACGCTTGGCCAGTTCACGATCTTTCTCTTCCAAACTGGGCGCAGGTCACGGAGGCTGAAGAAAAATGCTCAAGCTGGCTATGTGACGTCTCTAGCCATTCAACCTAGCCTCCACTTCCAGGGGAACAAGATCGTGATTGTGGCTTCTTGTGCAGGCTGCTGCATGACGTTAGCTGAAGTCACACAAGCTTCGCGTCAGACACACTAAGTCCCGCACCTGACTTTGGTCAGCTGCAACTGCACACGGGATGGGTGCTCCAGCTCCAGTCTTAACTTCAAAGCTTGGGAGTTTGCAAGTTGAGCCCCACAATCCACTAATAGAAGGAGACTCTGTTGAATCGCTCGACATTCACATGTCACCGAGAAGCTAGATGAGTCTTGAGGTTTTTGTTCAAAACACAAGTCTGTCAAGGATAGGGGCAGCCTTTGCAGCAAACTACAAGCGCGGTAAAACATTTAAAACCTTCGTGACAGCAAAAGCAGGTCGCCTACACAACTTCGATGCTTTGGGCTTCTATGCCGGGCAAGAACCTTGATCTTGTTGACTCCTGATTGCATGGCCCTGCTGTTGTGCACAGATCCTTGCAGCTTCTAGCAGCAGTTGTACCACACTCGTCTGGATCAAACTATCGATTTGCCAAGATCCAAACTACGAGAATCGGAAGTTGCAGGAACACGCAGCGTGCCAAGGATCGACAAAAAAATGTGTTTTGGCAGATGTGCATCCATGCAGGGAAAGCTATTTGGTAAGACCTGAAAAGGATGCTCAATCATCATACGCTTCCAATAGTTCAATACAAGGGAAATCGCCTTGCTAATGCACTGTGGTACTGGGTTGGTTGCAATCCTGCTTCTGGATGCTTTAAGCTGAGCAGGGGCAACCCGACACTCGGATTCACCCAGGCCTCTTGCTCTTTCTCTTGAACTTGCTGATGCTGCTGCTTGTTCATCCGCTCCTGAAAAAAGGAATGAGAACGACACAGGTAGTGCGATGACTTGACAGCACTGCCAGGCGAGCCGTGCCCATGATAGAGCAATGAAGCATGCCCAAGATTGCCCAAGTACAAAGGATGCAGGGAAAGCCCAGGGAACGAAGAGCTCCTGCAGGTCTGCCTGGGTCAGCTGGATCGTCTGCACCTCAGCAGAGTCGAAGCTTGTGCGCGCTGCCGTCGCGCTTCCCGCTTCCGCTTTTCTAGGCAGATCTGAGCTTCTTGAAAAGTTGAGGCAGCTCCCACTTACAGGCACCAAGCTCCTCGCCAGGTCAGGCGATTGGCGTGCAGCGGGGCCCAGAAGCCTTAACAAGGGAGGCTCCGCAATGCCAACCAGAGTGCCAGGATGTGTGAAGCCCTCTGAGCAACGAATCGCAAAGTGCAGAAGCTGGCAGAGGCAGGCACGAATGGGCACTTTGACCGGGCACGGTCCTGAGGGCTTGTCAGGACACTTGCCTGTTCCAGCTTGTCCATCACGAGCGACACAAATCAATGGCAAACTAAGGCAGGCACGGAACAGGCTGCGCCTGGACACGGCATGCCTGCATAGGTTTCTGTGCAACCCATTCTCGTCGGAACTGAATATCTCCCGTTTTCTTGCACAGGCCTTGGAATGTGTTTCTTGAGGGCTACCTGTGTGTCTCACAGTACCCTGACCCACGACAGATACTTCCTGCACATGCCTCGAGCCATCGAAGCATTGCACAATCCATCTCAATGTGGGCCACGTGCAGAATTGGCCGCCCTTTTAGTATATGATTAATATCTAAAGCAGCAACTGTAGTCTTACAGAGAGAGAACCCGAACCTTGACCAAGACTGGAAGCCCTCCATGTCGCCGTGTGCAGCACAGTAGCAATGGCACCAAAGCCCAGACAAACTGCAAACAAATGCCGCAGACTTTCAGGTCGGAGGGGCATGGAAGAAGATAGAAACAGCCAAAACAATTCTGAATTTGATCCAACAGCGGCCTGAAACCACCTCCTGATATACAATGGCACTGCATACCTCAAAAGCCGAAAACCCCTAACTAGCTTTTCAGAGCATCGCCGGACCTTGCCTGGTTCGTGCGGTTCACCGTGCTACACAGGGAGGTCGGCGCGGAATCCTGGCCCGAGGCGGAGGCGGCAGCTCTTCAAAACTCTCAACCCCTATCAGGCTATTCCGTCCGACCCTTACTATTCTCAGGGAATGGTTCCTGGATTACGCTTTTGCTCACGGGACCCCTCCCAGGGTTCGAACAGCACAGGATCCTCCTGGAGAGAAACATTCTGAAAAAAAAATCCTTGGGAATCACAAGCTTCTGTCTTGAAGCCAGGGTCAGATTTAGTTGTTACCGTAGAAATTACAGCGCAGGCAATGGATGCGCGAAGAGCGCTCACTAAATGTGAGTTGGTGGTTGTAGTTGTTGTTGTCTTTGTCATCTGGACTCGCACACCACAGCTAGGTTCATCAAAGGCATGGCAATTTTGGGTATACAGCTGCCTGAATCTTGCCTCCGATGCGTTCCCCATCCCGATAGTGTCTTACACATGCGGCAAAAACACCAACTGTAAAGTTGGAAACATCTCATAACGAACCGTGGGCACCATAGGCCTTGCCAGACGTGAGGTAGCTTGAGCCACTGGGCGCCAAAGTGGTTGGCATGGCGGACGGTGCCTGGGAAGGAGGGCAGAGCAGGCTTCCTGTTGCTGCGGCATCTGCCAAAACAGAGAAAGAAAGCTGAGGCTCTACGAAGAGAAAGCGCAGCTTGCAGCTTGCCGACTAGGCAACAAGTGAGGCAAGCGGCGCAAAACAAATCTATGACTTCTTGTAACACGTGCGCAGTCAACGAAAGACAGTGGTGAATCCCGAGAGAGGGTCGTCAGTGTGTCTCATACCTACCACGAGGTCCTCAAGCTCTGGGATGTAGACAGACTCCCTCAAGTCAATACCAGCCTAGCCAGTCACCCGCGAATAAGTTGCACATGCCCGTACTTCATTTCAGACGCAGACTGCGAATAAGAACCTTTTGGCCACAAATGAACGGCAGCCACCACTGGGGGCTTGTCGCATTATGCATCGTTCACATCAGAGAAATGGAGACAAAGCAACTCTTGCAGACGAGTCACATTCCGAAATCTGCCAGGCGTTGGAACCTGCAATCACCGCAAGCTTGAGCAAAATCGACATAGCTTTCGCGAATGTTGCAGTGCATCTGTGTGATACAGTAGCTAGCTGATACTGGCTCGGAAATTGACACTGCAGCGCTCAAAAATGCTGACAACAGCCTAAAAAGAAACGCTTTCTGCATCCACACAGCTGGATGCCATGAGCTCCATCTCATCCAAGCCGGATGCCTGCTTGATGTACTGCGCCAGGGTCTGCTGGCTGCCACCATGGAAACTGCCTTGCCATCTCAGCGTCGCAGTGTTTTCGTCCGCAGGTTCGGATAAGTCATTTTCCCAGGCCTGGGGCTAGGCTCTTGGTGTATGCAGGAGCGGGCGCCGCTGTCTGCCACACCTGCGGGCATCTGTTCGCCCTCCCATGCCTTGATTGAGGGATCTTGAAGGCAGCTGATACTGAGCACAAACCTGTGTTGTTGGAGGCGCTGCTGCAGCTGGCTGTGCAGACGGCATGGTCCCGTAGGTCGTTTTCAGCGCCTTGCTTTGCTATTACATTCGCAAACATGAAATGAGGCTCCTACACAGAACTCCAAACAATGGCAAAAGATCTTGCGCTGTCAGACCAGAAAATCACTGACATTTCCTTATCAGCTGAGTGCCGCGCATTCATGTAGCGGGGGGTTGGGGATGAGTACCTGGACATGAGAGAATGGCTTCTTCTCCCACCCTACGTGCACATCCTGAAAAAGGTAGGCACCATACTAGACATGGTATATTTTTCACATGAGCCCTGGACG